TTTGTCAAGTAAAATGATTTCTCTTAATTTATACAAGATCTTTAGGTTTYAACTAAAAAAAATGTCAGCTTTTTATATACTTACGTCTCATAATTTGTTAGTTATCAAAAAATGTTGGTAAAATTTATCATGTACTTCACARAATTACAGAAAAATGGTACAAGGGGTTCATGTCATGTAGGAACACCAGATTTGACTTCCTGTCAGTCTTAAAACAAAATCTACTTCAGATCCCAGAACGGATAATATCCTGCAGGCAATAAAGCCTTAAATAAAACCAAATCAATATTTGGGAGCAAAATGACAGAAAACAGTTGAAATAAACCATGAAGCATCACCTGATCAACCTTCTGCTCTTTCTTGACTTCGTCCAAGTCAATGTGAAGACTGAAACACAAAAAATATTATAAAACAAATTATTTTAAAGCCAAGACTCTCCATTCAAGTTTGTTCAAAACTCAAATTAAAGAAAGTAAACTTCTTAATTAATATAATCTCTGTTCAACAATTTCAAAAAACAAGAAATTATCAATACAAGAGCTGATTAATTGTCCTCATGTTACATAAATCATTTCCACAGTGGAATCAGAGCTTCTGGTTACCTTCCCAGGAAGTCATCTTTATCAGTGTCTTCATCAAACAGCTCAACCTCCAAGTCCCATCCTGAGTTCTCATACATTTTAACCTGAAAAAAAAAAACAAAGAAATATTAACTAGAGAAATTACATTTTCTGCAAAAATTCTGTTTGAATTCATAAAGCTGAAAGATCTGAAAAACATAAGTTTAGCTGAAAAAACTCAATTAGCTAAAAAGAAGCTAAAAACACAGAAAAAAGCTGAAATTGGCAAAAAGCAACTAAAAGATGCATATAAAGCTTAAAATAGCAGACAGAAGAAAAAAAGTTGAAATAAAAAGAATAACAGAAAAACTAAATGTCAGCTAAAAATGCAGAAAAAAATCTAATCAGCTAAGTAGAAGCTGAAGATGGTTAAAATTAGCACAAAATAGTTAAACAGCAGAACTAAAACAAAAGTCAAAAAGTTAAGATTTATGAACATTTTGACGAATTTTAAGGATGTTGAAGACAGCTCCMTTCTTTTTCAGAAAAAACTAAATATCGCAAAAAGTACAGTATACATTACTGAAGTACCAAAAGTCATAGTTTGGTTGTCCTTAAAGAGCTGAAAGTTTTGATATATAAACTGTTTTTTATTGATACATAAACTGTTTTTTATTGATACATAAACTGTTTTTTTATTGATATATAAACTGTTTTTTATTGATATATAAACTGTTGAAAGAGAACAAATTGTGAAAACATTCATGTGCCAAAAAAAAAAAAACGTGCAGAAGTAAAATTTGAATAATAAGAAGAATGTTTGATAATAAAACCTTCATAGATGCAACATCTGCAGATGCTTTGTTACACAGAAACTTTGATTTACAATAAACTGATGCTCTGCAGAGAAAAATTACTGGCCTAATAGTTTACCATACAAAATTTTAAAATGTTTTACTACCTTTGACT